GAAATAACTGCATGGAAGTGAGGGGATGTCCTGAGGCGTGGACCGCCGACATATCGTGGGCGACTTGCGCAGCTTCGATAGCCGATAGCAAACGGGACAAGTCCTCAGCAATGCAAACTTCAATTGTTTGTGCGAGAAATTCTCTATTTTTGTGGTCCTCAAAAAATAGTAAAGAATTTGAGTTCGGGAAATGCTTTTACACAAGGATTGCGAAAATAAAATAATTTCGTTAGTTTTGAAAAGTTGATCATATCTAGAAGCGCACTGACAAATTGACTAAATTTTGATTGGATATAATGAATTGAGTGTGTTTTTTCACTTCAACAAAAACAGTGCTTATTTGAACGCAATCTTAATAAAATAAATTGCACAGTTTGAACCTCGAATGCCAATCAGGACTTCAATATGTTAAAGCCTTGAAAATATATCATTGAGCGGAAATAAAGAAAATAAAAACGGGTTTTTGGGTTTTTCTTATACGGTGTAAATGAAAAATACGTATTATCACGATATTTTCGTTCAGATCATGGCAGAAAAAATTCTACTCAAATCTGTTCGAAACCACGCGACAAATGCGCACACACACAAAAAAAATTCGACAACCTAAAAGAGAATTTCTGTTGCTGGCAGTACCGCTACGAAGGAAATGGAAATGCATTACTTTGTGCACGAATCGGAAACGCTTGGTGACATTGAGCTTCTTTGGTCGGATTTATTCGTTGAATAATTCAGGCGAGTGTTCCGTTTCGATGGCATTTAGGCCTAAATAAGTCAAGTGCGAGGCATGAAACCTTTGGCCCCGGCCTTCATTAGAATTCGAGGCGCCTACTTCGCCGCCATTTGTCAGTCGGACGTGGTCAATCCTGCTTATAATTCGGAGCCCGTGGCACATCTCAATTTTTTTACGCTCAAGTGCCATAAAGATTCGAATCCTGGATGGAAAATCAGCAATGACTGAAATAATTCAACATTGAATGATGAAATTAGGTGGATTTTCGCTTTTGTCGAATCATTATCAATCAAAAATGAGCGATACGGAATATTCAAATTTGATACTCTTCTCCAACTTTGGCCGTTCGAAGTGAAAAAAGTATCGGCGATAAAAAATTGAATAATTACACGAGGTCCTAAGATTATTTTTGAGTAACAAAGATTGAAGTTGTAATCAATTCAGGACAGCAGGATGTTGGGGTTTACTAAACAAACGATCGTGTGGCGCAAGATGCATGGCCTTCTCATTTACGGCAAGTCGATGGTCGTTTTGGGTAACAGGAGCAATCCTTCACGATTGCCAGGTCGTCAAAGTTGCAAAGTTTGCGTGATGATCTACTTGGGTCGTAACGACTTAAAAGGCGATCGTTCAATGCATTTAGTGCCACAGAAGACACTGTAATCTTGGGTCTAAATGTGCCATTTCGCGGAAGTGGCAAAACTTATGTCAAGTTTGGTGGGCAGTTTTGATGGTTCATTGGTTCACCTTTATATGTATTCCGAGTATACTGACACCTCGCGTTCTATATGAACTTCGCGAAAAAACGTTTTCGAGGTATCAGCCGTGTAACTAGGTAATAAAATCTACGGGGAAAGCTCCGAATATTCAATTATCTCTCATGTCATCAACATTTTACCTCGCAGAAAAGCTGAACCCTGGCTACTAAAACATATGAAATTAAAATAATAATTTACACCATGATAATACCAATATACCACGAAAATATCGTTATACCACAGAAATACCATAACTGTTAAGTCAACATCTGTTCAATTCAGTTTTGAGGAATAAAATTTCCTATAAGCGACTTTCTACAGAATTTTTATGGAGTGCTTTTTGAATGTTCATTTCAGTGTATCATGTCCAATCAGGTGTAAGTGCTCTTAATATTTTTTTAAATTAATAATTGTGGTAATTAAACATCCGACGACAATAATTAAAAGTTTTTCACCCCTGTTGATGTTATTTTAAATAAAATCATCTATATAGCGCAGCTCAAAAATTAATCTTTCTTCCTTCTGAGGATTCTGGTTCGAAATAATTGACCGTGACTTAACGTAGCTGTTCATTTTGTGATTGGCTGAGTTTTAACCCCGTTCAGTTCAGTCAGTTTTGTATCAGGTTAAATTTAGATACATTTGAGTGAACATTCTTAAACTTTATATCCAGCTCTAATCATTATTTTTAATTATTCTCTCACCATTTATCTTCAAATTTTTTATGGTGGAGCACAATGACAAAGCATATCGCTATAGCCTCATGATCTAGAAAATTACTACTTAAATATCTATAATCATACAAATGAAGGAATACATCCATAAGCTTTCCAACTATTTGCAGGTAGCAGTGTCATGAATCCTAGATTTATCCTTCACTTCCGTAAAACTAAGGCTTGCCGTTGCCCCTGCCCGTCAGGCGAGACTCCTTTTAGCTGCCACGGCGGCTTCAGCACAATCCCTACCATCCAGTTCACTTAAATTCGCAATATTAACTAACAACCCGCCGCTTCTGCAGTGACAGTGACATATTTTCTAATCTGACGCTTGTTTTATCCGCTCGGATAATGCACTTTCCGGACCATTTTACCGCAGATTTTCTTGTTCTAAAAAGCGTGCCGCGCGGCCGAGTTTATCTCCTTTACTTACACGGTCATGGAGTCCTTGAAGAAAGCGTTTTATGGACCCAATGATGGAATGGCCAGAATTTTTTTCTCCATATATTATTAGAAATTGATAGATACATCTGGGATATATATCAAAACGTAATCTGAATGCTGATGGGGATTACTATTTTCAATGGAAAGGGAAAAATTTCACGCATGATACTTTTAACTTAAAATTTTTGGCCGTTACGAGACGAAGCACTTAAAAGTTTTGGAAACAGGCACTGCATCAAAAAATTTAGTTTTAAACTCAAGAACCTTCTTGATAACAACTTGAATTAGCAAAGAAAAAACGAGAACACCAGCTGCCAGAAATCTGCAAGTGAAAGAAGCCATCTTTAAACAATAAAAACTCCGAGTCAATCTCATCTGTAACAGAATTTTTACGATTATGTGGTATTTTTTCGATCGAGTCCTCCTTTTACCGTTCGCTCGCGAGGCAATCAAGCAAGAGGCCATATTTTACGGGAGACGGGACTCTGTGCAGTGGCTGGAGAACAGCCGCGCCCGCCATCTACTTATTAAACGCAAATCCCTCGGTGGTGCAAGCCTGAGGTGAACTTCGACGTCACTACCTTCACTGCGAGTACACGAGGCTGTCGAAAATACTCTGCTCATAAACTTCCATATTTTGAAATGTCTTGCAATCGGCATTCACGCTATTTCAGTAATGTCTTTATTCTCAAAGATCAAAAACAAAAAAATCAAGCGACATGCAGAAGAAAGGCGGAGGTAGACGTGAGTCCTTGCGTTGCTACGCGATCACCAAATATTCCCTGGAGTCCGGATGCAAAAATTGCCGGTCCGCAAAATTTTTACATGATGTGGAGCTCTTATAAAAATTTCTAAACTAATTCCCATGGAGGCATGTGACCTCACAAGCAGAGTCGGGCCTTAAATGAAGCCGGGAGTGGCAGCTCAGGGCTTCGAAGCTTCAATTTATGGAAGGAACGTAGATTACAAAATGCGGTAAGAAATTTCTTCGATAAGCAGCCACGTCATCCTAAACATAGGCCATTAGACACGGCCCGTTACGAAGCATTACACGACGTCAGCTTTAATGAAGGCCATGAATTTCCATCATCACTTCTAGTACTTCAGACTCTCTCCAGTAAAATCTCATCCACTCAATGGTTTCGAACAAAAAGTTGAACTAATAAACAGCTACCAATTTTGCATCGCGATAAAAATTACCAAATGTCAATGTTAGAAAAAAATTTTCATCATGCATGAATAAGGCGGAAAATATGATACCTAAGACATAGGAGTAAGTGATATATCAAACTCTGCTTTTAGAACCTGGCTAAACTATTTATTGGCATAGAATTCGAATACAATAAATTTATAATGATCGGGTCCAACTCGTTTTTTTTCGTAGACACGATACCAGAAAAAGAAATACAGTTGAGACTCATTTTCCAGCAGCTCCTTCCTAAAATTTAGACCGGGGCCCCGGTTATCTGCAGAGTAACGTTGTCTATCGGAATTCTATAAGTCCACAAATCTGGCTCCTAAATTGAAACTTAAACAGCGAGGAGATCAAAGGACGCAGAAGAACGCAGTTTTTTCGGCTGGATCATCTGTAGCAGAGACATCTTGAAGAGGTTTCATATCACTTGAGATAAAATTCCTTATTTTTAGTTCAGACTAATACTACTTGAGCCAGAAGCACAGCTTCAACATCGAAATTTGGAAATAATAGTTTAAATTCTTAACATCCCCAGTAAACAATTTCATCAATAACATTTCAAAACATGGCTCATTTTCCATGTTTGCCCTAACAGTAATGTTTTCAAGTTATGCTCCGAAAATCAATGGGCAGAAGGAAGTGCTTAATGTACGTGAACGATGACTTTATTGCCCTCGTCAATGAGCAGACTACAATTTTAAAGGACGTGATTCTATACAATTAAAGTTTGAAAGTGGTCTAAGAAAGCGAAAAAGAATTAACATTGGAAAACGAATGGTAAAAATGGAATCTGAAAATCTTGAAAGAAGTGACGGGCAGTGAAGTTAGTTTGTAAGCCATTGTGCGCGCTTAGACGGAAATCTTCGACAGGAGCATAGAGCAACAAGGAAATTCTAGTATGAACAGCCATAGAAAAGAAGCTTCAGGACATTTTGAAGAACCAGCCAGCTTGAACTTAGTCAGCCGTAGTGAGCGGATCTTAAATACTCAGAAAAAACATGTTCTCAAATTTGGGCATGATTCATCTCCAGACTCTGCGGAAGAACAATAAAACGAATTTCCATGCGAATCATTAAATCGAGGTGAAGAACCTCTATCTGACAAGTACTATGAAGAAATTTCGAGACAAAAGGACGATACTCCGAGCATCTGCCGCGATGGCATGTTGTGGGGTAAGCACCAAGATCAATTCAATGAATCTTCAGTGACATAGGGTACAAAGGAAATCATTAGTAAGATTGACGTCTCTATTCATTTGCATGCCGAAACCAGCATTGAGGCTAATTACGAGAATGTTGTGCAGAGAATAACCCACACAATTAATCAATGGTAATCCCGAAACCAAAGCAACAGATTTAAAGGCTGGTCTCCTGAGAGGAACGCGTGTTCTGTGCGCCTTCACATTGATGCCTCGGATTATATTAATCATCTATATTAGGCTTTAGTAGAAGCGAAGGACCAAATCTTCATCACGGCTTTCAAGCTCTCACCTGATTTACGTATTCGTCCGGGCTCGGAGCTGGAGCTCAAGGATGTATTGCTCAGCAAAGCAAGAGACGGGGTCCATATTTACGTCTTGATTTACCGAGGAGTTCCCTTGATACAAGATATGGGAGCCATCACCGTCCAAAAAACACTGCATTCATTGCACGAGAACATACACGTAATGTGTCATCCAAAAATAGCATTTAATCGCCGTGGAATCATGTGGTCTCACCATGAAAAATTGGTCGTCATAGATCAAAGTGAGGTCTTTTTGGGAGGTATTGATCTAACATACGGACGGAGAGACGATCACCATCACCTCGTTCGGGATAATAAAATGTCTGATATCACCTCAGCGATCTCATAAATATGCAAGGAATCGGGTCGTCCTGGGCTAGGACATGGCTCAGAATGGAAACGATGGGAACAAAAAGACTTTTAGAACCCATTCGTGAAGGAAGCTCATCCTTATTACACGGCCAGAATGCCTTGGCACGATGTTCACATGAACATCACCGGAGAAGTGGCACGCGATTTCACGAGGCATTTCATAGAGAGGTGGAACTACGTTCGACGTGATCTTCGACTGAGGAATTCGAAGCAATTTCCGGTCCTCTGCCCACTGCCGGAAATGACCAATTCACACATAAAAGGATGTTATCAGAGAGAAGTCCGCGTCTAAATGGTCAGATCAGCAGGCTTTCATCACCCTGTGGGAGAATCGTCGATTATAGCAGCGTACGAATGGGCGATAAATACGGCGAAAAGATTTATTTTCCTGGAGAATTAGTTTTTTGTCACCACTTGTGCGGGGAAGGATAGCCAGGAGAGTAGTGAACCGACAAACCCAGTGACTTAGCTTATTTTCGATCGTATAATCAGAGCGCACAAGAAACAGGAAACCTTCAAGGTTTTCCTCGTGATTCCATTGCTTTCTGATATGCCAGGATAGCTGGGCACTGAGACTTGCACTTCTCAAAAAGCTTTGCTAAGATGGACTCACGCTTCCCTGAGTAAATCTCCGTGCTCCATCATTGGAAGACTTCGGAGTGCCGGCGTCACTCGATGGCAAGACTATTTGTCAGTCTGCAGTCTGAGGCAATTTGGGATGCTTAATGGAGTCCCCATAACGGAAATAGTTTATATCCATTCTAAGCTGATGATTGTTGACGATATGATTTGCATCTTGGGCTCGGCCAATATTAATGACCGTAGTTTGCTAGGCGACAGAGACTCCGAGCTGTGCGTCGTTCTGCAAGATGATCGCAGGACTGAAAAAAGTTTCTAGGGACTGAAAAGAACTTATTTCAACACCGGTGACTTCACTACGCAAGCCTCTCAAGCATCGGTGGGATTTTCTTCGGACTCAGAAGATAGTCTCCAAAGTACTGTTGGCGATTTAGAACAAGACAAAACATTGAACACCGTCAAATCCTTACGTATGGCTCTTTTTCGGGAGCATTTGGGCCTGATGCATCAGGCGCCGTATATTATCGATCTAAGCAACCCATGCAGCGAAAACTTCTGGAACGGCGTCTGGAACCGCTGGAGCAGCGACAATTCAAAGCTCTATGAGCGAGTCTTTGAATGTTTACCTTGCGATTCCGTGCGAAATTTTAAGCAACTCCGGGCTCGGGATCCATCAAAATCGCTGGCTCAAACAGATCCGAATCAGGCACGAGCTCTTCTGTAAAATATTCGCGGCATGTTAGTGCATTATCCCCTGAACTTTTTAAGAGATGAAACTCTCACACCAATAACTGATAAAGTTCCTGGACTCGCCTTTTGTGATAAAGTTTATGTGTGAACTTCTGTGCTAAATCAATTGATGAATCTGACAGGCTGATGTAGGCTGATGCATTTGTACCAATAAAATAGTACTTGTATTGCGACATAATAGGCATGTTGAGATCGCATATCAAGAACTGTTTACTTTTTCGGAGAACAGTTAGCAAATTACCAAATATAAGGTAATTTATATGTAATAAATATTTATTTAATAACCACTTTTATTATTAAATTTACCCAGCATTCGACTAAATAATACTCCTTGTTGTTCGTTAAGAGAATCTTTATTTCCAAGCAGAAGCGCTTACAATTTGTCGAATGACGCTACTTGACAAAGCGAAAAAGCAACGAATAGGTAACGCGAGTCTCAGGAGCACGTGCGGGAATTGGCAAGAAGTGCAGACTGTGCGTACAATTCGTGCCTGCAACGTTTGGGGCGGGATTTGGCGAGTTTGCTAAAGAGATTTGCTCGAGTCCAGTGATTTAGAAGGGAAAGAACAGGCAAGTAGGGATTCGTCGGACTCAAAGAAACGGCGTGTGAGGGCAAGAGAACAAATCAAAGAGGAGATTCTCGCCATCCTAGCCGTGCGGGCCACGTCGATAATTGTGAGAAAAGGAGTTCCGTGACTCGCTTCTGCTGCAGACGGTCGAGACGAGTAGTGATGTGCCTTAGAAGATAAAAACGTGCTGCCAGCGGTCGCTTTCAAACGGAGAGACTCTGCAGGGACCAAATCAAGGGGATTGCGATCCTCTCTTACGAGCTCAGCGCAAATGTAAATCCATTGCACCTGGCAGAGAAGAAGTCGAACCACAGCAGCTTCTTCAGATCCCTCAGTCAACTTACTCTCAGAATTGCCTGGGGAACGTTGATCTGATTTTGAATAGATGAAGATGCAGTTATAAAATTATATGATATTTGAATTGCGTGCCTGCGCTATGTAATGTTGATTCTGAATGACTTATACATGTACTTGGCATAAAGACAAAGGGAGAATTTTGATGGTGTACAAAGGATATAGCAATTTGAAACCGAAATCATAGAGCTATAGAAGAAAAAGTAATATGCTTGGGAAGCATTGAAAAACTTTAGCGTTGACGTAATGAGCTTAAAGGTTTGCAAGGCATCGAGGCGAGTCAATAAGCTTGAAAGTATTGCAAGGCGAAGCGATCTTCTTGATTCCAAGATGCTTTATTATTGGATTCACCTTAAGCTCATTACATCAGTGATAATAACGATGCGGCATAAGCGATCGGATGACAGGCCATTTCTTCTGTGAGAGAATGGCATTAAAAGCCGAATTGCAGATCAGAGGCCAGGCGACGCTCCAGTGCAATGCTCAAGGCATTCTTCGTCTGATTGGATTCGCCGTCTTGGGCTCGGAGACCAATATCGACGACGACGTCTTCTTAGCGACAATCTTCAAGTAAATCTCGATGTACGAGACATGCTTATAGCTGCCAGCCCTCGTATGGAATGATCTCGATAGAAACGATAAATGACACCGAGTAATGAGATCAAACATTATCATCCGCGTTGCTGGCATGAAAAAAGCTTTTGTTTTCTAAGTGATCAATAAGAGTATGAATGTTACAACGTATGAACAAATTGGAAAAAGGTTTTGCACCTAAAATGAATCTCACGTCTGCATCAATAAAAATTTTTTTTTATTTACTGACGGATTTTTCAAAATTAGGTAATTTAAAAAAGTTATACCGAATAAAAAAAGAATTAGAAATTGTTTAGATTTTGCTCATGTGAATTTTCGAAAAATATGAAAGAGAACATGAAATGCATAGAAAACGGCAAGAAAGGGGGGTCCACTGTAAATCTATCTCCTCCTTTAATTTACGTCCTACAACATCGAAAGATCAATCATGCGATTCGTAAAAAGAATATTTATCAACTCTAGCAGCTTTTTACGATTTTTTATTCAATTTTTGTTTATACGACTTTTTCCTATTTTCCCCATTTCCCCCGCCCCCCTCCACCCACGTTTTTTTCAATATATAATCCTAACAAGGTACAAATTAGAAAAAGAGTATCTAGAGTCGCTAGATTATATCTCTACAAATCAAATGATAGGTCTCTCAAAGCTATCACTTTGAAATCATTAGCGAAGATAGATTTTTAAGACGGTGTATTATGGAAATTTTAATTGTTCAGGGGAGCCAAATAAGTAAAATCTCGTTTAAAAAAGAAATTAATAATTAAGAATTGCTTGATACTGCTGCCCCAGCTTCCTATTGCCAATTACTTGTTTTTTGGATATCATCATGAGACCTTAGACTTATTCTTGTCCAGTTTTACGCGAATTATAAGCAACAAATTTAATATATTTATAGCTTATTTTTCGATAATATAGTTTTTTAAATAATATAATATTATATTATTATATTATCTAATATATTTCTTGATTTAAAATGGTCTTTTCATAAAAGTTGAGAACGGCCTTACATAAAAATTATTGCATACTTTGCAGCTTTAAAATGAGGCTAAACTCATTGCAATCAACTCGAAAACTGATATATAAATTCAATTTTTCAATGGGATCTATATATCTATCTATTTTTCAAAGTAATCTATGTATCTAATAAAGAAAGTTAATTTCTTATAAATTTGGAACTGCCTCACGCAAAAAATGAAGTACAAACATATATACGGTTTGCGGCGTAAGACGCGCCTTTTTCGCAGCTACTCTATGAGCTTAAAACCAGCTGAATTAATGCGAATAATAATCTAAAAATATTTTTTTTCTTGAATGAATCTTTGTACATACTGTTTAAAAATTTTTATTTTATACAATTTTGAAACTGCTTCGCGCAAAAAATAGATTACTCATATATATGCGGTTTGCTGAATTTGAAGCGCCTCTCCCACAGCTACAAATGAGGCAAAAAAAAAAGAAGTGCCAAAATTTTCGATTCATTTACCAAAACGCTCCCCTTAATTTTCACTTGCATAATATCAATACAAACTCAGACTGCTGCTTGGTAAAATTGATGGCAAACATGAACCAAGGACCTTAGTAAAGTTGATCATTTTGAAATGTTCATGTGAAATCTATAAAATAAATAAATAAGACATTTTGTTTGCTGCTACAATGATTTCCCACCTTAATGTAAGATTGCATAAATGGATTACATTGAATAAATTTCACTATTTTCCAATATCACACTATTTTCGTAGATGTGAGGGACAAATTTCGTTCCACCAACAATTAAGCATAGAGAAAACAAAAACAACCCCACGATTTCAGGTCAAAGCGAATACACTGAAATTTAGTGGAGCTAAACAATGTCTAAGCTTTGCATCAATCGGTCAAAAAATGTATTCTATGTTAGGCGAGAATCTTCCTCAGATTGAATCCAGGCGGCTTCGGCAATATGTTTATACAAGCGGTCTCATGTGTGCTGTAAAGTAAGCTTTGAATTCCTGCCACAGCTGCACTGACCACCATAAATCAAGTTGTTCTCTGCATTCTAATAAACAGAGCACAACTTTTGAAGAAATTAAGCAACTTGTTTGAGGTAAATGTTATGTTCAAATCGTGCCGAAGAGCAGGTATTAGACAGGACGTCGTGTGATCCGTGTGATCCGTCAAATGAATAATGTTAGCGAAAATACGGAGTACAACTTTTGACGAAATTACGTAACTAGTTTGAGGTAAATGTAAGGTTCAAATCATGCCGAACCGCAGGTATTAAACAAAACCTCTTAAGATCCGTAAAATGAATAATGTTAGCGAAAGGCCTCTCTCGAGTCTCAGTTTCTTAGTAATAACGATGTAAGTGTTGATAGGTGCAAGGCGAGTGTTATTCAATGACTGTGACAGATTCTGATTAAATTCTAATTCTGGCAGCATTTATTTGACAGGTGATGACTAAAAATAATTGACAGCTGATTAATAAAAATAATAAAATCTTTTTTATATTAAAACTGGAAACTCGTTTTGCTTTATTCCTTCCTATTTGAAACTCTGGTTTGGAACGTAAATGAATAAATTAAATGACGACGCATGTAAAAGAAACAGCAGAATCATTCACTATGAGGAGGAAGAACAAATTAATTAAATGCAAGAATAAACATCAATGGAAATAGAAAGGAAACGATGAAGAGATGAGCAGCGAACAGCGTTGAGCAGACCAGACAGATATAGACATGTCGGTCGGGTAAACAGAAGCCGACAGTTTAGGACTTGTGTTTACATTAGACAGGGGGCAGAGGGCGGGGGGCGAGACCTCACCGCTCAGGTCAAAAGCAGAAAACAGGAATGGACGACAAAGGAGAACAATTAATTATCGCCGTATATGACAAGATGTATTTAAGATGTAAAAATGTGCACGGACAATGAGATGCAAACAGACTTGAGATAAATTTAGTTGGATTTATCTCGTAAGCAGAGTTAGTAGCAGGAATTTTTGTATGATGACAGAGAACCATAATTCAATATTTTTGAAGGTAGATAAATACTCATGGCAAAGTTATAAAGGCAATTGCCATTTCAAGTAATTAATAGAAGAGCTAAATATAATCATTTTCTCTATAATCACATCTAACGTAATTTGAAGTAAAATTTAGGAAACAGAACTCATAGTTTTAGTACTGGGATCAAAAAACCCTAGAGAAAGTCCTATTGAAA